ATGGTGATGATTGAGAGCAGATTTTTCGGACTGTAATTGGTTGGGTTAGATTGTTGTGGTTTGTGTGTACAGGACACACCTGGTCAATGTTCTACATTGTTCTGCAGATGCCAGTGTTGTAAGTGTAGTGGAACAACTTGGCCTGGGGAGCAGCAAATACATAAGCACATGCCTCCAGTACTATTGCCAGAATGTTGTGACGGCCCACGGTTTTTCCAGTACCCAGTGCCTCCAACCGTTTCGTGGAGTGAATCAAATAGGCTGAAGACTGGTGTCTTCAATGTTGACGACCACTGGAGGAGGCTGATACAAATCATCCACTTGGCACTTCTGGCTGAAAATTGTTGCAAATCTTTCAGCCAAATCATTTACACTCAAATGCTGTGCTCTTCCATCATTGAGGATGGGGATATTTGTGGACCCTCCTCCTCCATTGTGTTGTTTAATTGTCCACCACCATTCATGACTGGATATGGCTGGACTGCAGCTATTGGATCTGTTCTGTTATTTATGGGTTTACGTAGCTCTGTCTATCACTTGCTGCTATGCTTTTTGGCACACAAGTATTCCTCTTTGGTAGCTTCACCAGATTGATACCTCATTTTCAGGAATGCCCTCCCAAACTCTCAGTTGAACCAGGGTTGATCCCCCAGCTTGACAATATCATCGTTGATTCAGGGAATATGCAGGGCCATGATTTTGCAAATTGTGTTGGAGTACACTTCTACTGCTACTGATGGAAGGAAAGAGCTAAGCTCTTACCCTGTAGGCCATATACGCAAAAAGCTAAATGCAATACAATGAGCACTAACAAGGCATTACAGGAAATAGGAGCAAAACTGAACAATGGTGCAGGTTCACAACTACAGCAGAGGGAATTTCAGAGATAATTTGAGACAGCAATAGGGAAGGAAGCAGCAGAGGCACCTGATCAGATTGTTTCATTCTTAGTCACAAAGAAACTTCACCAGATCCTCATACTTGTAGGTGAGTTTAGAGGAGGTAAGGGAGATGGAAAGCCCTTCAAAAGAAATTAATCTGGCTTAGAGGTATGAGATCGTCATGCATTTAACAGAAAGCTGATTGTCTTTTTGGGTACGAAAAATATAAATCAGACTAAGTGGTGTTTACAAACATCACCTGAAACAGACCCCAGAAAACACAGTTTGGGGATAGATGTCAATTGCAGCTCAAGCCAACCCCTGCAGACACTCAGAGAGCTCTGTGGTGTTTAACCAGTCATGATGCATCAGAAAATCCCTGTCCACACACTGTGCAGATAGACAGTCCCTACCCAGTGTGAATGTGTGCACGTACAGTGATGCTGTGATTATTAACAAAACCATGTCCCCCAGATACGTAATTCTATTAATATTTTAATGTCCAAAGACCATTGTTCATTCCTAGGTGTGAATAAGAGAAAACATCCTTCAACTGTGGTTATTTGTGAATTCACTGGTGTCTCAGCAGGTTGGATGACTGAGTGAATGTTTTCCCACAATCAGAGCAAGTGAATGGTGTCTCTCCAGTGTGAATGAGCTGGTGGATTACAAGGTGAAATGCCTAACTGAATCCCTTCCCACACACAGAGCAGGTGAATGATTTCTCCCCAGTGTGAACTTGCTGGAGTCTCAGCAGGTCGGTTGTGAGAAAGAATACTGTTCCACGCATGCTGCAAGTGAATGGTTTCTCCCCACTGTGAACTTGCTAGTGTCTCCTTTGGGAGGGTGACTGAGTGAATCCCTTCCCACACTGGGAGCAGTTGAACAATTTCTCCTCAGTGTGAGCTCGCTGGTGCTTCAGCGGGTTGGATGACTGTGTGAATCTCTTCCCACAATCAGAGCACATGAATGGCTTCTCCCTAGTGTGACTGTGTTGGTGAGTTTCCAGCCAGGATGGGTTTATTAAAAAAAACCCCTTCCGCGACCTGCACATTCCCACAGTCTCTCTCCTGTGTGACTGCACTGGTGTTTGGGCATTTCGGATAAATACTGGCAGACTCTTTCAAACACACAGTAGGTGTGTTTCTCACTAGTGTTGAAGGTATATTTTCCTTCCTTGTTCAAAATCTTTTGATACTTCTGTTCTGATAAACAGAATGCCTGTCAGACCTAGATGTAGCTTCATATGAATCCGCTAATAGCAAATAAGGAGGCAGTGCTGGGCAAGCTAATGGGGCTAAAGGTAGACAAATCTCCTGGCCCTGATGAAATGCATCCCAGGGTACTAAAAGAGGTGATGGGGGAAATAGCAAATGCACTAGTAATTATTTACCAAAATTCACTGGACTCTGGGGTGGTTCCCGCAGATTGGAAAACAGCCAATGTGACACCACTGTTTAAAAAAGGAAGTAGACAAAAAGCAGGTAACTATAGGCCAGTTAGCTTAACTTCGGTAGTGGGGAAAATGCTTAAATCTATCATTAAGAAAGAAATAGCAAGACATCTGGATATAAATTGTCCCATTGGAAACATCCAACATGGGTTCATGAAGGGTAGGTCATGTTTAATAATTTGGTGGAATTCTTTGAGGACATTACTTGTATGGTGGGCAATGGGGAACCTGTGGATGTGGTGTATCTGGATTTCCAGAAGGCACTTGGCAAGGTGCCACATCAAAGGCTGCTACATAAAATAAAGTTGAATGGTATTACAGGTAAAGTATTGGCATGGATAGAGGATTGGTTGACCAGTAGAAAGCAAAGAGTAGGGGTAAATGGGTGTTTTTCTGGTTGGCGGTCAGTGGCTAGTGGTGTGCCTCAGGGATCAGTGTTGGGACCGCAATTGTTTACAATTTACATAGATGATTTGGAGTTGGGGACTAAGTGTGGTGTGTCAAAATTTGCAGATGACACTAAGGTGAGTGGGAGAGCAAAGTGTGCAGAAGACACTGAAGGTCTGCAGAGGGATATTGATAGTCTAAGTGAGTGGGCAAAGGTCTGGCAGATGGAGTACAATGTTGATAAGTGTGAAGTCATCCATTTTGGTAGGAATAACAGCAAAATGGACCATGTTTTAAATGGTAAAAAATTGCAGCACGCTGCTGTGCAGAGGGACTTGGGTGTCCTTGTGCATGAATCGCTGAAGGTGGGATTGCAGGTGCAGCAGGTAATTAAAAAGGCCAATGGAATTTTGTCTGCCATTGCTTGAGGGATGGAGTTTAAAAACAGGGAGGCTATGCTTCAGCTGTATAGGGTCCTGGTGAGGCCACACCTGGAGTATTGTGTGCAGTTTTGGTCTCCTTACTTGAGAAGAGATATACTAGCACTGGAGGGGGTGCAGAGGAGATTCACTCGGTTGATTCCAGAGTTGAGACGGTTGGATTATGAGGAAAGACTGAGTAGGCTGGGATTATACTCATTGGAATTCAGAAGAATGAGGGGAGATCTTATAGAAACATATAAGATTATGAAGGGAATAGATAAGGTGGAGGCAGGGAGGTTGTTTCTGCTAGCAGATGAAACTAGGACTAGAGGGCATCGCCTCAAAATAAAGGGAAGCAGATGTAGGACTGAGGTCAGGAGGAACTTTTTCACCCAAAGGGTTGTGAATTTGTGGAATTCCCTGCCCAGTGAAGCGGTTGAAGCTACCTCGCTGAATGTTTTTAAGGCAAGGCTAGATAAATTTTTGAACGGTAAAGGAATTAAGGGTTATGGTGAGTGGGTGGGTAAGTGGAGCTGAGTCTCAAAAAGATCAGCCATGATCTTACTAAATGGCGGGGCAGGCTTGAGGGGCCAGATGACCTATTCCTGCTCCTAGTTCTTATGTTCTTATGTTCTTATGTTCTAAATCAACCTTTCAAACAGAAAAAAAATTAGCGAGAGAGAAACCAGAAGAGCACACACAGTTTGTGAAATTGAGGGAAACTAATCTGATCCTATGTGGAGAAAATATTTGGGGAAAAACATTACCATGTAAATTCTTGGATTATCGTTAAAACCCAACATTAAAGTCAGTGTTTGCACAAAACTACAAAAGGAGAGGCAGAATTGGGAGATACAGGACTGAAAGAGGCAACTGTTCCTACTTTCTTCCCAAACCCTTCGAACTCTTCAGTCCCAAGAACTAAGAACAAGTGCAGAAGCAAGATGCTGGAAATCTGATATAAAAACAGGAAATGCTGGAAATGCCCAGCAGGTTTGGCAACTTCTAAAAGTGTGATAGACGATCGCAACCTGATTGTCTTTACACTGTATTCATGTTATCTAGTGTCCTATTCACACCTCATCCAGACACATCTCGTTGCCTTTGTATCCCCATTACTACTCCCTTTGAAGAAATGTGGGCTCATTTAGGAAAGCTAAAAAAGAAGTTTTCACAGGAAATCATGATGAACTGTCGAGTTTTTTTTGATGAGCTAAGGGGTGCTGATGATGAAAATCTAATTGATAGGATGAACATGGACTGCCAAGACGTATTTGATAAAAGCTCCATAACAGCCCAGTGAACAAAACCTAGATCTAAAAGGAATAAAAAGGACAGTAACAATGTTGATATGAAACTGTTTCCTGTCATTCAGCCAGTCATCAAAAAAAGGGACCTGATGGGCAACATTTCGCACCCAGGGTTGTACGTATATGGAATGAGCTGCCAGAGGAAGTGGTGAAAGCTGGTACATTTACAACATTTAAAAGGCATCTGGATGGATGTATGAATAGGAAGGGTTTAAGAGGGATACAGGCCAAATGCTGGCAAATGCGACTAATTTAATGTGTTCGGCGTGAATGAGTTGGACTTAAGGGTCTATTTCCAAGCTGTACAGCTCTCTGACTCCATTAACAGCTGTCTTTTGAAACAGTGAAAGGTTTCTAGTGGAGTTAGCTTGAGGCTTTAGGTGTGCAATATCAAGATAGCCCAGATAAAGTAAAGAAATGCTGTTCTCATTAGCAGACAGTAAAATGGTCATAAGACACAGACTTAACATTTTCAGCAAGTGACACAGGGCACAGGAGGATGAGTAATATGAACTGTGAACAACAAAGTACTGGAGCACAAACTTACATTCAAGGCCGACAATATCCAGGTACTGATTAATCAAGTATCGCCGTCAGATGGTGTTGTGATTTTATTTTAGGAAAACATCCACTTGCAATGTCCTGTAAAAGGAGATTACAAAAATCATCACTGTCAGCCCAGGATAGAAAAGCAGAAGAGATGAACGTTTTTCTTACTCTGGCTTTGCTTCATAGAATTGTAAAAAGGTCAAGACATAGAAAGTGGCCACTTGGGTTATTGTGTCTATGCCAGCTGAAAAATTAGCTACCCAGCCCCAGCCCACTTTGTACCAATTGGCCTGTAGCTTTGCAGGGTACAAAGCTTTATATGCCAATTTGAACACATTACACATGAGTTGAGTCTTTCTGCCTCTTCTCTCATTCCTGGCTGTGTGTGTCAGACCCCACCCATCATCTTGGAAAAACACTTTTCCTAATCTTTCATTTAATCTTTCTACAAATCATTTCAAATCCATGCCCTCTAGTCACTGGATTCTCTGCTGAGGTACCACGGCTTCCTGCCACTCTATCCAGGACCCTCTCAATTTTGTACATCACAATCAAATTTTTCCTTGGCCTTCTGTATTCCAAGGAGAACCCACAGCGAATATAATCTTTCCATATAGCTGCATTTCTCCCCAGTCCTAGTAAACAATCTCATCAATCTCCTCTGCATCTTCTCTGGTTCAATTCCACCCTTTCCATAAAATGAGATGACCAGAACTACACACACTGCTCAACTTGTGGAAAAGGTACCCTCTGCCCACTGTCCCACATTAAAATGTTGGCTGAGCGCATCTCTTTCCATTGCCCTGCAGAAAGATGGCGGCTGTAAACCCTGGACCTAATTACGGTGTAAAACCCCGTAGCTGCAGAATCAGTGTAACCAGAGGACTGCAAGCTTCCCATCCATGGTCTGAGACCTACTCCGGCGGTTTCAGAGTTACGAATGCAACCCGGTGCTGAAAACCTTCCATGCATTGACTCCGTCTACACTTCCTGCTGCCTCTGGAAAGCAAACAACATATTCACAGACCCCTTCTATGCCCTCTTCCATCAGGCACCGTGTACAGATTTATGAACAGGCCTCTCATACATTACAGTTGCTCTTTCTCACCGCGTACAGATTTATGAACAGGCCTCTCATACATTACAGTTGCTCTTTCTCTGCACCTTCTCTGTAGCTGTACCACTATGTTCTGCATTCTGTTCTATTACCTTCATATACTTATTTAAGGTAGGATTTGTCTGAATAGCAGCATAAACAATACATGTCACTGTATGTCGGTCCTACTTGATGATAATAGATCAGATCAGATCAGATCAGATCAAACCTCCCCTCTCCCCCGACCGCACTACTGCTCCTCACTCACTGTTGTCTCCGAGCCGATGGGCGTGAATGAAGGTAGTTGGAGGACCCGCGAGCGTTGCGCATGCACCATGTTGCTGTCCGACTTCTGTGAACATGGCGACCATTAACTCGAGTCCTGTGTGAGCAATATCTTGAGAAGATGCCACAAGATTAAACACAGTAAAGATAGGTTTCATTCAGCATTCACTGTCTTCTCATCTCGGTATGTTTCGAAATCCGGGCAACCCACCCTCTGGCTCGATTGTGCCCTCCTAGTTCCTCCGAAGGGCCCTTATCAAATAACACAATACGGCCGTCTAAGCGCAACCGTGGCGTCGGCACTGATTGACAGCAGATCCGGACCAATACGAAACGGGGGCGGTACTGGAGGACCGGGCGGGTGCGGTTGATCCTCCAACCAATGGGAGCGAATGAGGGGTGCTGTCCCAGGGAAGCTCAGTTCAAGCTGGATGAAGAACATCTCACTTCCCACTTCGGAATTCTGCAATCTCCAGGACTCACACTGGAGTTCAACAATTTTAGCGCTTTAGCACCTTCTCCCATATCCTCACTCCAATTCCCACACATCAGGCCTTATCATCACATGGGCTGCTCCCACGCGCAATCCATTGTTGGCCACTAATAGTCCACATTAGTGGCTATTTATTCACCCAGACTGACCTTTCCCACACCATTGTCTATCCAACTGTTTTTCTCTGTCTTTGAGCTCTATCTGCATCCAATGTTTACTTCCCCAATGACGCACAAACAAAGCCAAGACTTATACAATTAAAAGTCAGGCTTCAGGTAGTGTTGTACAATACAGTGACAGAGGGCTTCAGGTACATGCTTCTTTGAAGTTTGTGTCACATACAGATAGTGTGGTTAAGAAGGCATTTAGCATGCTTGCCTTCATTCCTCAGACCTTTGAGTATAGAAGTTGGGATGGTAAAATGATAGATAGTAGGAACTGCAGAAGCTGGAGTCTGAGATAATAAGGTGTAGAGCTGGATGAACACAGTAGGCCAGGCAGCATCAGAGGAGCAGGAAAGCTGACGTTTCAGGTCTGGACCTTTCTTCAGAACAAGCACTTGGGAACCCTGCAGCCCAATGGCCTCAATGTGGACTTCACAAGCTTCAAAATTTCCCCACCCCCAACCTCATCCCAAGACCAGCCCATCTCATCCCCGCCTCCTTCACCTGTCCGTCTTTTATCCCACCTATCCGCTCCTCCCACCTCATAGACCAACCCCCACCCCCACTTCCTATCTGCTAGCCTCATCCCCCCCTCCTTGATCTGTCCGTCTTCCCTCCCACCTACCCGCCGCTCCCTCCTCAATGACCAACCGCCATCCCAACTCCCTACATATACTCAACTTTACTGGCTTCATCCCCGCTTCCCTGACGTATCCATCTTCTCTCCACCTGTCTGCTTGTCTATCCACCTTCTATCATTGCCTCCCCCTTTATTTATTTCAGAGCCCCCTTCCCCTCCCCCATTTCTGAAGAAGGGTCCAGACCCGAAACGTCAACTTTCCTGCTCCTCTGATGCTGCCTGGCCTGCTGTGTTCATCCAGCTCTACACAATGGTATATTGAGGTTGTACACAATGTTGGTGAGGCCTCTTCTGGAATACTGTATCCAGTTTGGTCTCCCTGTTATAGGAATGTTATTATTCTGCTGGAGAGGGCTCAGAAGAAATTTGGCAGATGTTGCTGGGAATGGAGTGTTTGAGTATTGAGAAGAAGCTGGATAGCTGGGACTTTTTCATTAGAGTGTAGGAGGTTGAGAGGTGATCTTATAGAAGTTTATAAATCATGAGATAGAGTGAATGGCCGGTATCTTTCTCTAAGGTGGGGATTTCAAGACTGGAAGCATATTTTTAAGGTGAGAGGAGAAAGATTTAAAAAAGACACAAGGGGCATTTTTTAACACAGTGTTTCATGCATGTAATGAACTTCCAGAGGAAGTGGTGTATGTGCGTACAGTTACAATGTTTAGTAGACATTTAGATAAGTACATGAAAAAGAAATGTTTGGAGGAATATGGGAAAAGTGCAGGCAGGTGAACTAGTTTAGTTTGGGACTCTGGTCAGCATGGACTGGTTGGACTGAAAGGTCTATTTCTGTGCTCTGTGAGTCTATATCTCAGGGTCGAGGTGCAGGACTGGGTGGTGCTCTGAGCATGATGGCAATAGGTATGTGTGGCAGAAGGAAACTGAGATTCAGGTCAGGAATGGAAACCGTGGAAGGGAAGCCTTAATGGAAGTTCGCAAATCCCCAGGGGAAGCATCAGGGCCCTAAATACGAGCCCCCATTCATGTACCTTCTGACACATCAGTAGGCTCATGCTAAAGAGAAGCCTTTCACCTGCCCTGTGTGTGGGAAGGGATTCATTTGATCCTCCAAACTAATGAATCACCAGCGGGTTCACACTGGAGAGAGGCTATTCACTTGTCCAATGTGTGAGAAGGGTTTCATTCAGTCATCTAACCTGTAGACAGACAAGAGGATTCACACTGGGGAGAGGCCATTCACTTGCTCTGAATGTGGGAAGCAATTTTCTCATTCGTCCTACCTGGTGAAACACCAGCGAGTTCATACTGGTGAGAGCCATTCACCTGTAATGTCTCTGGGAAGGGATTCATTCAGTCATCCCACCTGCTAACACCAGCGAGTTCATAAGCAACTGCAAGGTTTGGATTCTGCACTTGCTGATGCTGCTAATCATATCCAGGAATGAACCATGTTCACTCTGATAATCCTGGTTTATTGATGAGTTTGTATATTCTGCATAAATGTAAAATAAATCACTTTTTTGAGACTTTTTGTAATATTTTTCATCTGGCTGAAGTCAGAAAGGACAATCTGGGTCAGAAACAGGTCTTTAACCTGGATGTAGTCTATCCAGGTCACACTGAGAGACACAAATGGGACTTTAATCTTTCTCATTTCTCCCCACCCACAGCTGAGACCTCATGATGTCAGTCCTGAGGTATATAATAAATAATTCTCAGTCACTCTCTTCCTTGATTCAGACACGGAAGAGCAGCTCCCTCGCAAATGTGTTTACAGTCAGGAAAAATAGCGATGAATGCTGGAAACATGCTGGAAAATCAGAGATTGGTGTCAAACGGTGATCTGTTTTATGACACAAACCAAAGAACTGCAGATGCCAGAGATCTGAAACACAAAGATGTGTGTTTCTAATCTATTCGGACTGAAAGTGAAATAGCAGTGTAAATTTTCGGTGTGAAAATGGCGCTCAATAATTCTTCAACATTTGAACCTGTTTGTATTACAATCTTGATTTATTGACCAGAAACACATGTAAAATGTGTTAGTTAAAATCTGTCTTGAAATTTCAAGTACATTGATCATAGCTTGATTTGCAGATAAAGAAGGGCCTGTATTGTGTCCAAGAATTTCCCCTTCTAATGATACTGCTTCCCGCTATTTGTCATTTAAATTTACCTCACTCATACTGGTGTGTCAATATAATCTGGAATGCATTACCTGAAAGCTTGATGGAAACAGATTCAATAGGAACTTTCAGGAAATTCCAAGTATATTTGAAACAGAAAGTTTCTAAGGTCTTTGGCGAAAGATTTGGGAAGTGGAATAATTGGACAGTTGTTTAAAACAGTTGACTGGATGGGGCAAATGGCCTTATTCTCTAGTCAATTTGTATTGTTCAAGCGGTACCATTCACTTCAATCCAAATGAATGCAATTTAGTTCATGAAGTTGTTGTTCGAGTTATTAACATATGGAAGATTAACAGCAGCAGTGTTACTTAATGTTATGGTCATGCTACAGATTTGAATCTGATTTCAGAATCACTGGATTGTGCATTTGATGTCTGCTTCATAACCTGGTCACATTAACCAGGTGTGCAGTCATCTTTTGTGTGATGATCTGGACCAATAAAAACATTAATTTTGTTTCTGTTGGATTACAATAGGACATGTAAGAATTTATCTCAAATGTACTGTACTAGTCACTGCATTTGATTAGGTTATATTTACTTTAACCTCAGCCCTGGATCAGAAATTCCTGCACGAGAAACTCTGTCAGTTGGTAATAATCCAGGCTGCATGAGCAATCCCTGTTCTCCACCTTCTGTCAGTTTATGTTAGTCCCAAGCCAGTTGTAAAAACATTCACACCTTAAAACACATGGCTGGCAATGTATGCATGTGTGTGCATGTGTGTGAAATGGTGGTGAACGTTCAGGGTGTGGAACCTTGCACCCAAGGAAAGCTCAGCTGTTAAGCAAACGTTTGTAGGACTTTGCCCCATAACATATCACTTAACCCAATTAATAAAATAGAATTCATACACTAGATACTGATTTAACCCTCAGATAATTCTGATTGTCAGCAAACAATGAAAAATAGAAGATGTGATATTCATTGACTCATACATTTTATCACAAACAGCTAATCATTGACTGCCTATCGTATTCAAATATGTGATCAACTCTCAATTGTCAAATGTCATTATCAGGGCTGTAGCTTCAATTGGCCGGAATAACAAGGCTGGTAAATAAGTACTGAAGGGCTGGTCCTACCAGTTATGTTAACCTTCATGAGTATTAGTCCAGACCCTGTTATAATGCTCCTGGTAGCCAACTGGTGAAGGAAGGAACCAGAGCCAGTCCTGCCTGGGATAGTCTGGAACAGATTTATTTTTAGAGAGTGGAACATGGCAGGTAGGCCATCTTGTGATGCAGTAGAAGTGTTCCTCGCCCGAACAGGGAGATCTGGGTTCAAGTTCCACCTGCTCTAGAGGTGTGTAATAACATCTCTCAGCAGGTTGATTAGAGAAAGAAGTCTGTTTTTTTTTTTCTTTTAAGGATTTGAAGCATTGCAGGTTTGTAGTTCCTGACTCCCCACTGTTTCTATGTCAGTTACCGCTCTATATAATTATTTTTAATCAACTTGTTCAGACAGGCTATGAGAAACCTCTGAAGCAAGTGGGATTTGAACCTGCACTTTCTGGCCTTGAGGTAGGAATGCTGCCATTGCATCTCAAAAGCTCTTTGGTTTTGTTTTCTGAGAAGGGAGACAATAATTGTGTCAATTGAGCTCAAGTATGGTGAATGTATGGTATATGCAGAGAGGATTGGAGAAGGTGTAAGTAGATCAAGGGTGGTGTTGAATTAAAATACTGAGACCAGCAGCAATCTTTGTGTTTGTTCTTGATGCTGTCAATGTGTGGTCACTTTCACAGCAGGATGTCTGTTTGTGCCGATAACATGAAACTGACCGCTTGTTTCATTCTCACACAGCACAAATTCCTGTTTCTCTGCTGCCAGTTTGAAACTGCA